GTGCGGGGGACGTAGCCTCCCGCTAGTTGTTCGATATCGCACTTATCTTTCGATATTGCTCGTTAACGGGACACAGTATCGAAAAATTGTAATATATTTTTCGGACTTCTTTCATCAATAATTTTTTAACAAACAATGAGCGACGGCTAAAATCTTCAGAAGGTCACTCAGAAGGGTGACCTCTATGACATATGTCAAGATCAGGCTGATCGGAGGTGGCGCCCTTTTTCTACACCTTTACCGGCGTTTTTCATACATAAAATGACTGAAATCGAACAGACGACGTAAAGTTCCCATAAAAATCGCGGAAGAGAGTCTGAGACACCCTGTAGAAGAAGATTGATTCTATCATGTTTGTATAATCAATTACAATGAATAGTTGTCTGAGAAGTTATTTATAATTATGAAACGTAGCATCTTGTACCAATATATATGTATACATAACACCTCTATATGTTTACATAAAACTGAAAAGATTAAGAATTAAACTACAAAGGTTCGTCGAATATTCGTCACGAATTTTATTTGTGACGCTAACTGGCGAACTGTTGGCGGATTATCTCGAGGTAGTTGCGTCTCTTGAAATTTAGTTTGCAACTTGCAGACGTCTGCGTGCGAATAACGCGGCAGATTTTGTCGCGCTGTCATCGCGAATATCATTTTCGTCCGTGGTACACGATGGTCCAATACAGAGCGACACAGACCTTCCCCACTCCCCCCCCCCACAGTCCTTACCTCTTAAACTCTTCCTCTAAAAGCCCGTAGACAGTCATCCTTTCGTCCCGGCTAACACTCGCACGACGTCGCCGTGACGACGACGCGCCCTCGAAGAACTCCGTGAAGAACGTCGCGTTCGGCGGCAGGGCGTATTGGAACTGAAAGTTTTGCCCGTAAACCAGAATCCTGCCTGAGAGCTCTACCGGCACCGCAAATCCCACGACGAGCTTATCGCAAATTCACAGTAAATGAATACGAGAATATATTTGTCGGATTCTGAGATTCCGCGGAGAATGATCGCGAGTGTAGCGCAATGCAGCATTCGTGAATCGATTCGCGTTTGCATTCTCGTCATAGAGTCCGACAGACTTCATACTCGAATCGTCAATTAATTTTTTTCTTACTGTGCGACGCTTTCTGTGTGAGACGCTTAGTCTATAGCCTTAAAAAAATATTTTTTAAAACAAGACGCTCCCCACTACAAATCTCTTCTAAAACTTGTATTGAAAATCGATGGATATCTTGTCGTTGTTAAGCAACAGATTGCTCACATTTTGTCATTGCAAATATAAATTTCCTTACTATTTCTTATTATTCCTTAACTATTATTTCATACTAACATGTAATTATATATAAGAGGTACTTCATATTAACAAATTCAATTCAATACTACAATTAAAACTTCATAATAACAGATACAATGAATTACACAGTATGAAGTAACAACACCAATCTTGTAATTTCCGAGTAGAAATGTAACTAACCGACCTGATTCAAAAGCTATTACAAGCCACATTAATTTCTTCGGAGATAAATTTATTAAAATCTGGAAAAATAATATAATTTTAATTTTAAGTTTATAATTTTAAAATGATTTAAATTTAATTTTAAGTGACAAATATGATCAATTAAATCGAGGTTTTTCTTTTTCCCGTAAAATTTTGTGGGGAATGTTTATTCACAGTACTATTCGTTATATTTCATCAACAATGTTTGAATTTAAAAGAAAAATTAAACGTATTTAAACGTACACATATCTGAATAGAAAGAAACGACTGAGTAGAAATAAATGAGAACTAGCGAATTTGATTTAAAAAACTTGTAGCTAATTAGTACAGGCTAGAGACTAAATTTTCACTAACTTATTACTAGTTCGTTACTGATTGATTATTTACTAAAATGTAGGATCAGAATTTTGTGGCTAATCCTAGTCCTTACATAACTCATATATCGAATATGATCGAGCAGATAGCGCTGTTTATTCTAAAATATATAATCTATATCGTCATTACACTAAAAATAATTTTGTAATATTTAACAAATGTATCTGGTTGAACGTTTCAATGCAATATTTGATAATTATCAATATCAAATATGACAATAGAGTTACTAACTATCTCTTTGATAATAATTAAAAAGTAATTAACAGTAAGAAGTAAAACAGTAAGTAGTAAAACAAATTCCTTATTTAATTGAACCAATTAAATCTTTTGGAAAGTACTACCAAATTATATATTTTATTACTAATTTGGTTATATAATAATTACTAAATAGTTTTATTGCTTAAGTATTTATATTTTTAGTTAAAATTTACTAAAGCAATTAGCAACAATTATCCAGTCTTGATGATTACTACCAAACCTTTTATCAGTGTAATATTTTAGAATTAGGTTGCAAACAAAAGAATTTATTATGCTATTCAAATTTTGTTGTTCAGGTTATGTTATTACATAAATGTTCTTAAAAATTACTAACCATAAACGATTACTGGCTAGCAAATACTTATAACTTTTCATCTGTAATAATTATTTTCCATAACTGTATGTAATATCTCTTGTCTATCCATCAGTTAACTTACTTATATAATCACTAGAAGAAATGAGCGTTACATTGTTGGCTAGCAGCGACGTGGGACACAAATTTATTGTAAATATCTACTTGCTAGTCACGAGATTCAATTTCTACTCGGGATATCCATTCTGAACGTTCAGCGACGAAGCTATACATACAGCTCGGCGGTAGGGGTTAAGGGTTAAGCTTCGGAACGTGCTTTTATTATTTCAAGGATATACCCAGAAGTCGCGACAAGCAATTCGCTCGCTTACTCAGAAAAATATAGACCAAAGATGCCGAAGATTGATGCCGCGATTGTTTCGGGAACAGTCGGGACAAAGCGCGAGGAACGAGACGCGATCGCGGCTGCGGAGGAAACTGATGCTGAGTAATGTCATCGTTGATGCAATCTTAGATACGCGTGGTAGACATAAAAATTCATATCCGACGATATGTGGTCGTAAAGAAAAGAATCGGCCTGGATGGGGGCGCATAGAAACCTGGGAGTAGAACTCGCGAATTCATTTCAGAGATTACGCGCGGCGTCGTAAATCACCCGTGAAATGGCGGAGGAAACGCGAATCCGCACGAGAACGGCACGCCGCATAGGAAAGGATAGTGCGCGCAAAGTATCAATAATGATATCGACGGTTATTGAGTGCAAAAATGCGCGTCCGACTAGGCGATGGTCGTTGCCGCCGCGAAGGTGTGCGCGCGAGTTCGCATTTCAGAGAAGATTGATGAGTGACAGTTTGGAGATACGAGAGGCGAGACAACTACCCGTCTTAGGGTATGCACTTTTAGAGGATGAGAGGGAAAGAGAGAGAGAGAGAGAGAGAGAGAGAGAGCAAAAGAGCGAGAAAGGAGAAAGAGTATAATTTTTAAAAACCCGGTTTTCTTGAATCACTAAAAAAAACAGAAAAACGATTTTTCTTCAAAAAATTGATCTTTTTGAGAAAAATTGCTACTTAAAGATATTCTAAGAGAAAATGTTTTACTTAAAAAGAATATATACTATATAAGAATATATACTATATAAGAATATATACTATAGTTTCGTTTATTTATATGTGGTGTGCTTTTTGTTTGTCTTGTATTTAATATAATCTTATTAAATAAGGAAAAGAAACTTTAAAGTTAGAAATTCTGAAGTAAAAACGTGCAGGAAATGGAATGTTTTACATATATGTAAAATCTCTTATCATAGAGACTCAGATTTTAATGACTACTTTCACACTTATAAAACCTCCTATAAGGATGCAGTAATTGACATATAATCGATATAAAATTGCAATACAATAATCCAAAAATGTACAGAATACATATACAATCTATTGTCAGATTCTGTTTGCAAACCCACACAACAATACGACGTCTTAAAGACGTCTGAAAGATATCTTAAAATTTCTCAGACCTCTTAAAAAGTTATCAGAGAGACATCTTTATGATATCTTTAGGAAATTTTATGTCTTGATGTAAAATTTCTTAAAGACATTATTTTAAGGCATCTTTAAGACTTTATATTAAAACGTCTTAAAGATGTCTTGCTGAAGATTACTTTACGACCTTTATATATAAATTTTATTTTGTTCTTCTATCTCTCTCTTTCTTCTATCATATGGCGATGATAAAAATATGTAGTCTCATATCAAAAATTATAATGACCTTGAAATCCTAAAAAATATGACCTTGAAAAATATGAGAAAAATTTCTTATTTTTTAAAATATTTGTCTCCTCAACTGAATAATCCCCCTTTGGCATCCTCCTATCATAAAACATAAGCGAGATATTTAAGGTGATCAAGTTGGACACTCTGTATATATATGCTACTACAGATTTCTATAATTATATATACATTAACAAGGGAAGGATATTTTATTTATTATCATTTATTTGTTGCAGTCAGTTGAGAATTATGATTAGAGTGTAGATTTGCTCATATGTTCTGCTCACGATTGGGATTAGGATATTCAGCACATCATATACTTTAAACTTTAAAATATATGCTACCAAATAATGAATTTTGATCATACATGATTTAAAATTTAAAGCATATGGTATCGGATACCATCAATATTGGCTAGCTGTCATCAATACCTAACCTTGAACAGGATGAGCAAATCCACAGTTTAATTTATTCTCAAGAACCTTTTGTATGGAAAAAAGAAAATTTTTGCTCTGTACTGCAACTTAAAAGTAAACTGACCAAATTATAAAAATATACAGTTTAATAACTTCTCCAAGATTTTGATATGCTTCACACGACGCTTGCAAAGACTAAAAGATCGTTATAATATTTGTTATAGCAACAGAGTAAAAATAAACCTCATAATTGGTAATGTAAGCAGTCATACATAGTCTTAAAAGACATCAGAGGTAAGGCGTCCTTAAGACGTCTCAAATGAGACGTCTATAAGATAATGTGATTTAGGTGATGTTTTAAGGACGTCTTATTTAAAACGTTTTTAAAACATCTTTTAGACACGCGTGTCGTGTGTAAATTCTGTCCACAGAACAACATTAGATCACAGACATGAATGACTACGGATTTGATCATATTAAATCTGTCGTCAAACTACTAACAAATTGCTTACTAAGTGCATTTATCTTTAGTTAAATGCACGCAACTATCTTCTTTGCAGAAAGAAGCAAATAAAGATTCTAACTAAATACGCATGAATCTTTCCAAGAAAATTGTTCTATTCTTGAGAAAGAAACCGAAAAAATTCACGGAAAAATTGAAAAAAATCGGTTTTTTTCCGTACCTCCAAAACTATAGAAAAGAGAAATGAGAGAGAAAAGTGGGAGAGGGGAAAGAAAAGAAAGAGAGCGCAATATTTATAATACGCTCCAAGACACAGTCTCCTAAAGCAGTGACAAAGAAAAAGATATATAAGAGAAGAATATAAGTAACACACTTTTCCATCTTTATACTTAATATATGATAAAAACAAATGATAATTAAAATACAGTAGAAATAAAAATAGACTTTTTTCTTCTTCTTGATGTTAGGTAAAAACCCATTGTTTCAAAGGCCACTTGTGACAGAAATAAAAATGAAAATGCAAGTACTCTTAGAAAGTACTCTTATAAAGCGAACAATCATGAATCGCAAATTTGCCGAACAGCAAATGAGTTTTTCTCGATTCAAAAGCGTCTTGTCAGAGGACGCACAGTCACACTCGAATCGATGTTGTCACGCATCTTTCACGAAAACCCGTTCCCGTTCTTTTTACTTACGATTCGCGAAAATTAACTCGCGTATGCGGTGTGAGGAAGAAATTAAACGAGCACTGCGCGCACAGTGCGTTGCTCATCGTGTGAGATTCATACATGCGCCGGAACACTGTCTCGGCCCCGTGGATCGCGTGTAAGAATTGAGCTAAAAATTCA